TCCCATCCCAAATCAACTGAATCAGAAATTCTAGCAAACCCTCGAGGTGACTCTAATGCACATGAACATTTGATGACCATGGCTCTGCTGCATAGATCTGATCATATTATGTCCCAGCTTCAAAGTTTTTAATCGCTCAGCTCTGCATCCAGCCCCAGAGTTCTCACGCAGGTCACAACAGGTCCTTGGTGATCTCACTCCCCCCTGCTTGTCTAGCCATGTCTTCCCCCCATGACACACACACACCCTTCTCCACATCCTGTCACACAGAACTTTGCTAAGCCCTTTCCTGGACTGCCACCTGGTGAACTTGTGCCCTTCCATCACTTCCTCAGTGATGCTTCCCCTGGCTCCCCAGGCCCTTTCTGCCTTGACCGTGTTTCCTATGGTGCCCTCAGCAGCATGTTTATCCCTCTGCACTCTAATCGTTAGGTTACCTGTACTTCTTCCACCAGAATATGAATTCTGAGCTCCTCGATGCATGGACCACATTTCATTCATGTTTGTGTACCTAACAGAGGTTACGTGCTCAGTTAAAATTTTTGTTTCTTTCCATTGTCTCCCCAAAAAGATTTCATGTCTCATTTGTCCCTATTAAGGACCATGCATCGTATGTGAGAGTAGGCCTCTAAGTAATTTAATCATCCTGAATAGTTGCGTGCCCCCCCTTTTTTTTATTATTCAGTGAATAAACTACTAACTAATATTTACCTCCAGTTGTTTTGGATAACGTTAATCCAATACTGGTGACACTCAGGAAGAAATGTTGGAATGATGTTGTGCTTTTTTGTCTGTAATAATTCAGTCTCCTTTTCTGTGATCCCAGACCCATGATTTCAAGCTAATAAATCACTCACCGCCAGCCAATGCACTCAAGAAGCCAATATTATAATAGGCAGAAAAACAGGAACTCTACTTAGGATCTGGACTTTGTAGCATATTCAATTAATAGCAGCATCTCCACTTTCTCACCAGAAAGTCACAGAACCATAATTCATATACAGTAATTTTTCTGAATCCTGGTAGACTTGGGTCTTCAGGATTTGGTAATTTATTTTCATGTTACCCATTTTTTTGTTGAGCTTCAGTCATTATGTGCTGGCTCTTCCCTTATCTTTCTAAGAATTCTAGGTTTTGACATAGTTTATGGAGCAGTAAAATGGCATTTTAAAGTTCTTGTAAGTTGCTTGTGAGGCAGTGGTGGTTCAGTGGTAGAATTCTTCCCTTCTGGGAAGTAGAGCTGTCCATGCACATCATGACCAGCCACGACCTGTCTGTCAGTGGTCACTTGTGGTAACTTGCATATTACTGTGATGCTGAGCAGGTTTCAGTGGAGTTTCCAGACTAAGATGAAGTGGGAAGAAAGGCCTGGAGATCTTCTGAAAATCCACCAATGAAAGCCCCATGAATCACAGTGGTCTGTTATGCAGTCAGTTATGGGGATGGCATAGGCCCAGAAAGCATTTTGTTGTCTTGTAAGAGAAAGGAAAAAAAAGATTTATTAAAAATTTCTTAACAAAGGTCAGAAAGTAATTACTGGTCACTTTGGGCCTTAGAACATTACACTTCATAAACAGAGGCTTATGTTTTCCTCAGGAGTGTAGTTCTCTGTATATAGCTTTAACCAAAACCAAAGCTAAACCCACTGCCGTCGAGTCAGACCCAACTCATGGTGACCCCTCCTTGGGTTTCCGAGGCAGTATCTCTATGGAAGTAGATTGCCCAACCTTCCTTCCGAGGAGTGGCTGGTGGGTTTGAACCACCAGCCTTCTGGTTAGCAGTCAAGTGCCTTAGGCACTATGCTACCAAATACCAGAGCACTAATGATATAAAATGGTCAGCAGCAGTGTCATATCTCCCAGAGTTTACCCTTGGTAGGGAGTTCAGCCTCTGTTTATCAGCATGAACCTGGGTTGATTTGGTCACAGTGTTTTAGACCATCTTGAAGAGATTGTTGGCTGTCACTGTAGCAGTCAGTTTCAGTGCTTATAACTGTTTATTCTCAGATTGTATCATAATGATATTAAAAATCAACCTTTCTGGTCTCCATATATTTAGGGCACCATTTATGTTTGGAAAAAAAAAGATTTTCTGTTCATTGTAAGAAAAGTTTTTGGTGAATAATAGGCAAGAGAGGAAAAAATTGATTGTGAAAGGCAGATTCCAGCTCCTTTCACTTGGCAGTAATCTTATCCTGACAGCATTTAATGTGAAGTCACCGTGCCCAGAGAATAATCTTATTAGGCTTTAATTAAAAGCACAAGGGTTTTGGGGTTTTTTATTTTGTTTCTTTTTTTGTTTTTCCTGTATTCTTATCTTTCTCTTTTTTTCCTCTTCACTTCCAAGTTTTCCCTTCTCCTACCCTTCTCTTCCTCCTCTTCATCACCCTTTAACATTTCAAATGTTTTTGTCTTGGCTAATCTCTGTGGATAGAAACTTAGCTGAGCAGGATATTGATTACCATATATGGTATTGCTGCTGCTAAAGATGTTAGAGGAATGTAGCTTGTATTCTAAGCCTCTGGCCTCTGAATAAGCTGCCAAACAAATTAGGTCATTTAAAGGATGCTGAAACTTTGATTTGGAACACTATGGTGGTGTTATTTTAGCTCTAAAGGGGTGGAGCATGAGAAAGGGGGGCAGGGAGTGGGGGATTCAGCATGTTTTAGGATATGAGCCACCAGCCCAGGTTGTGCAATAATAGGCAAGCACTTTGTGGGGAACCTCGGTTGACTCGAACACCACTGGAAGAGTTGAGACAGCGAATTCCTTTATCTGTGACTAGAGGCTCCAGAGGACTCTAGATGATGTGCTTATGTTAACACCAGTGGTTTGGGCTGTGGTATTCAAGGAGATATGGGCCCTGGGTATAGGAGCTTCACACAGGTAGGTTGGTGACTTGAATGCCAGGGAAGAGAACCAGAAAATGATGGGGGCTTAGGGGATAGTCTGACTACAGAAGTCCTTTTATCACATACCTTCAAATGACAGCCAAGGACTGTACTTGTTTCTCAGCAGACCACAGTTTTTCAGGTCCATATTTGGAAATATTTGTCTCTTGTGATATTAGCTTTGATAGGGTGAAATGCTCTTGAGTGGAAATGAGTGAAAGCAAATGCAAAAGAATGCAGCTTTGTTCCTGTTCTTTATATACATTTTTGTCAAGATAATACTGAGATACCCTGAATTAAAAATAAAAAATGGACCAGGAGAAAGAAAAGTTTTTCTTTTTCTTTTAAACACCCATTATTAAAAATTAAATTCTATGGACACATAAGTAAATACATTATATTAAAAACAAAGATAATAATCAAAATGCATCATTTCCTAATTAGGACTACACTTTACTGTTACCTGTGCTCTTGAAGTTATTTACAACTATTCTATCTGTACAGTGGAAGAACTACGTAATAGTGTGGTACTGCTCACTCTTCCCAACTCTTTGTTATGTGACGTCACATTGATCTTTTTTTTTTTTTTTTTTTTAATAAAAGTTTTTCTTGTAGTTTTTTAAGTTTCACAAAACTGACATCCTCCCTTTCACTTTCGGTTGGCTAGAACTGTAAGTGGGCCCCCCTGCCTTTTATTTTTCCCTGTATGTCACCCTCAATTGGTTTCTTCTTCAAAGAATGAAAAAATCAGGCTTGCAAAGAAATTCTGCCCACTCTGGGATGTCTTTGGGTCAGGACTCTGTGGCTTTTGTTGTCCCTCTCCCAGGACCTCTCTTTCCATGCTTCCCCTCCCCCCATTTCTACTCCTTGCCATTGCCTTCCAGTCACAGGCTCTTGTTCAACTCCTTGGAGCTGAGCTTGTGAGGTCCTTTACCGTAGTCTAGAGTCAGGAATTCTTATTCACTTCTTAGGAAAATTGCTCTTATTTTTCTTTAAGCTAATTATGAAAGAAAAGGGGGCTCTGGGCCCACAGGCTCAGATTTGTACATTTAGAACACTGAATGGAATACCCATATTTTAACCATCCTTATTTTCAGGATTCATGTCTCTTTCCAGAACACACCATACAGGCAAGCACAGGACCTCCATCTTATTTTGATGTATATCCTACTTTATATGGGATATGTGTTTTTCACACTATTATTGGGATCCAGAGTCCATGGCATAGAACACGTGGATACCATGAGGTTCTTTACCATGCTTTGTAACGAAAGCATTCTTCAATGGGAATGTTCCTAGCTTGGCTTTACTTGTCTTGAATCTTGTACTTTGTAGTGTTTGTAATATTTTGAATGTTTTGTTCTAGGTAAACTGATTATAGGCACAAGAGTAATTGAAATTATTTTCCTTTCTTGGCCAATATAATCTTTTTTTTCTCTCTCTTTGTAACTAATAACCCAACTATAATCAAAGTCAGAGCTTTACCACATAAAGACATTAAGATTTTATACAAACTTATAAGCTAACTGGAATCAACTGATATTTATTATCTTGAAATCTTAAAATAGTATAATTCCTGTCTTCTGAGTAACACAGAGCACTTTTTCACCTTTGTGAAAACTCACCAAGAATAAAAGGATGGGAGTTTAACATTCCATTTATAAGTGATGAAACTAAGGTATATAGAGGTATTAACATTGTTTTAAACTAAGTTGAAACACTGGACTGAGCTGAGGCCTCTTAAGATGTCAAATGTTAGATTTTCCAGTGTTGTCTAGGATTTTACATTACTTTGTTCATTCTTGATGGTAGCCATTAATTGTGAGGTTTTGCAGGTCTGATATTAAAACTTAAACTGTAAAGCTTTGTCCGAGAAGAAAAGGAAAAATCCTATAACTAGATATTTAAATTAAGTAAACAAAATCTCTCTGACTCTATGGTCACGTTGTGTTATAGGTTTCCATGTGTTCTGTGTAACTAGTAAGAGTGAGAGCTCTTGCTTACCTCTTTTTCATATAGGCCAGGTTTTACTGGTGTGTTTATTTTGTCACCATTCCGGGTTGACTCTAAGGAAATGAAAACATCTTCCGTTTGTTCTTTATTTCCAAAGGGCATCCGCTTCGATCCTGAAATTCCGCAAACACTACGACTAGAGTTTGCTAAGGCAAACACGAAGATGGCCAAGAACAAACTAGTAGGGACTCCAAACCCCAGTACTCCTCTGCCCAACACTGTACCTCAGTTCATTGCCAGAGAGCCATGTAAGTTGACTTGCTTTTCATTTTGGGAAAATAAAAAAGAAGGAATAAGTAAGAACTGTTCATGTGTTGCATGTGAAATTGCACCATGAGACATAGAGCTAGCTGAGTCTCATTTTCCGTTGCTGTGAACAACCTGCCCATTCTAGCTGTGTGAACTCCAAGTACAGCAATCTTGTTGGTTATCAAGGAGAACTATAACTTCACAATGACATTTGAGGTACTTGAGATTGCCTCAGTGTGATGTTGATCTTATTATATGTCCTTGTTTACCCTAGGGCATTATAAACCCTTCTTTTTTCTTCCATCCTTGGACATGAGAGCTGGTTCTCAACGTTTACTTTTTTCCATCTGTTCAAGGTCAGCAGTTCTGTAGCTTTGGAAAAATAGAATATTAAGAATGAGAGAAGCATATCTTAAGTTTGTTCCAATGTTAAGGACAGTTTAGGTGAAACTCTTAAGGGGAAAAGTAAACACACACAAAGGATATATATTGGACCAGTCAGTTCTGACTAACTAATACCAGTTATGCTGTAAGGAGATTTGGGACTTGCTGTTTAAAATTAATTGGGTAAGGACACTGGCAAATTTCTTAACAAGTGTTTTACCCCACCTTATGTAAGCTTATTCCCATAAATGGTCAGGCTCCAATTTCTGCTTTGATTTAATAACTTGAAAAGGTTGTCTTAATTTTCTTTCTCAAGCTCAGTCAGTGGCAGAAGTGAGGCATGAGGTAGGACTTAACTTTTCCTTCCATTACAGGGTTGTATGTGATTTAATATGGCAGGGTGTGCAAGGAAGCCCAAGTGACTTGCTATTATTTGGGATATTTCTGTCCTGTTTTTCTTGATCTTCTTTCTAAACTACATGATTGTGATCTTCTTCCTGCTTTCCCTGCCAATATATTTCAAGTCAGCTTATTGAAATTGAAGGACACAGGGGTTCCTCTCTTTCCCTGTGTTATACACATGCCACATTTAATCAGGTTATTATGAAATGTATAGTCATTCTCTAGCTCAGTTGCTCAAGAAAGCTGCTGCTTGTCAGTGGAAACTGCTAGATATGTTCTAAACATAAGGTGCTCTGGTGGCACAGTGACTAAGGCATTTGACTGCTAACCAGAAAGTTGGCAGTTCAAACCTACCAACCATTCTGTGGAAGGAAGACGGGCCAATCTACTGCCATAAAGATTTACCACCTCGGAAGCGCAATGGAGGTCACTATGCTTTGGCATCGACTCGATGGCAGTGGGTTTGGTTGGTTTTATATGTTCAGAATTTTTCTATGAGGTCAAAAAGTCACAGTATTTTTTTTTTTTTTTTTCCCCATATCCTAGGAAAACTTGAAACCTTCCTTTATCTGGGAAGGAAATCTAAACAAAAATTTCATCTTATGGCATAGTAGACGAGAATGTAGGGACAGTCTTACATAATTCTATATCCGCAGTGATACTGCCTCGGAAACCCAAGGAGGGGTTGCTATGAGTCGGGTCTGACTCGACAGCACATAACAACAACAACATAGCATCTGGCTCCATGCTTTGTTATATAAATTGTATACATTTAATATTTATTATAGTAAGTGGATAGATATATAAATTAAGAGTTGAATTTGGCTGTTTGCTGAATTATTCCATTTCTATGCCTTTTCATTTCTCCATGTAACTTCTTCTCTCTTGATCAAGGTGTCAGAAAAAAAGTGTTCACAGGATACCTTGATTTAGAAAATATAACCTAGTGGACCTCTGGGCTTTTCTAATGAATTTGCCTTCCTCAGATCTCAGAGTACTTTGAAAAGATTAATTCAGACAGGAAGTGTAATACTAGTAATACTTAATCCTTATAGTTCTTTGCTGAATGTTTTCCTTTTAGGGAAGTCAGAAACTCTTTCTGAATCTGCTACAACAACCCTGTGAAATAGGTAGCCCAGGAAGTGACAGCCAGTTCACAATAGGGTACATAAAAGCAGCAAAGATGCATAAACTGCCATCCACAAGTCCCTGACATTACAGCAGCGCTTAAGATACTGCCCCAACCCACTCTGCCCACCTCCCTTTCCATGTACAGAATAGCTCAGAAATGATCAAATAGTTTCCATGGCAGGGTCAAAACTTGCTAGGCTGCTCATAGCAAAACATATGAAGTTAAAAAAATTCCAGACGGCCATCAGTGTGTTCTTGAGATAATGACGTTAGCATGATTTCTCTTAATATAGCTCCACAGGGGCCTTGATGAGCAGCAACTCCGCTATGACTCAGTCAACCTTGTCATCCAGTACAATTCCCTCTGGGAGTCAGCCTTCATGTAGAACGGTTGGTTTCCTGGAAGTACCCCATAGACTAAGAACACTGTAGTGATTCTCTGCTTGCAGACCCGATTGCATTATGCCCATCATTGGTTCTCAGGGTGGTCATTTTAACTGCCCATCAAGTGTGGACTGAGATGGAATCATAGAACTTCATGTGTGGAAATGCTTGAAGGCTTCTCTGTTCTTCCCTCCCATCAGTGGAGTTGGCCTTCCATGAGAAAATTAGCCCTTGTTATAAGTGATGCTTTTTTTTTTTTAAATGCTTTCATAGGTATTAGGTGAAAATCACCTATTGCCATCATTAAAGGAACAATATTCTATGATTTAAATATAGCAAACATTTATTTCAATTCTCAATAAATATCTTTTGAACTTAAATGAATACCTAGTGTGCTGGACACTTTAGGCCAGAAAATTTGGCCCTACATAAAGAGCATAAAAGAAATTCCTTGTAGTTTAGTCCAGATTGACCCTAAATCTATGTATGCCAAGCATGATGAGTGAAAAAAACAGATATTGCGACTTTTCTATAGTAGATGATGGTTTGGGCTTAGACGTGAAGGTGTCAATCAGTGTTCTGATTCCACAAATTACATCCAAATGTAAAATGTCCATGAGAAAAACAACTTTTCTGTGCTGTGTTCCCCTAACTGCAGAAATGATTGTTATGAGAATTAAATTAAATCTCAGGGTTGTATTGAAGATAAAATGGGAGTAATATATGCAGAGCACTAGGTAAATGTAACATACACTTCTAATTTAAAAAAAAAATACTGATTACTTTTCATAATCAAAGAATAAATATTGATCATCTGAGATGTCATTAGTATGTGATTGTAGCCAACTGTCCCTCTAAATTAGGAGAAAGGAAAAATGAAATTCACAATCCCAACAAAGTGGTTCATAACTGTAAAATTTTCATAAGCAAACTTTTATTAATATGATAATTAATTTGAGCTTCTGTTTCTCTTACATAAAACCCCAGGTTACAAACACGATCTGTTCCTAACTGTGTCTTTAAGAACTTGTAGGGGTTAGTTCAGCTGTTTCACGGTGAGGGCAGATTTACATAAATATAAAGTGGATTTTGAGCCAAAATAGTGGTACCCTGCTCAAAGATGGTGGTTGTCCCAGTTACCTAGTGCCGCTTTGACAAGAATATACCACAAATAGGATGGCTTTACCAAACAGGAGTTTATTCTTACGATTTGGAGCTTTTAAGTCCAAGTTAGCCATGACAGAACTGGTTTATAGCCCTGCTTAAAGGGCAAGTAGGAATTGTCTGTTAGTTGGATGTTTGTAACCTGGGCACTGCTTATAAAGTGTTAAGCAAAACTGTATGTAATAAAGATTGAAAAAAACTGAGTACATAGAAAGTAGCTATGTGAAAAATTTATAAAGTATGTAAAAATGTCCTAGATTATGCATTTGCTTGTACAGGAAAATAGTATTCTGTAGTGTGAGAATTCCCCTTGAGAGATGAAAACAGACCTAGGTTTGAATCCAGGACTAGGCACCCTCTCTGAGTTTTGTTTTTCTTATCTGTAAAATGATGATACTTTGTGCCAGACATTCTGCCAAGCATTTTACACGAATTTTCTCATTTGATTTTCAGTGTCCATAACTTATAGTTGAAAAAACTGAAGACTGTGAAGGTCTGGTAACTTTCTCAAGGCTGCACAGTCATCAAGTGACAGAGGCTGGATTTAAATTCTGGCCCATTACTTACTAGTTTTGTGACTTTGGTCTAGTTACTTAACTTCTCTGTGTGTTGGTTTTCTCATTTATAAAATGGCACCTTCCTGTAGGATTGTGGGGAAGTGGAAGAGTGCCACATAGTGAGGGCTCAGTGATGGTTGATACATGTACAACAGCACGTGTGCTTATGTGCCTTTTGTTCTTCAGAGTTGTGAGGCCTTTGTATACATTATCGGTATCCGTTGTTGCTCATTGCCGTAGAGTCAGTCCTGACTCACGGCCACCCCATTTTGCAGAATGGAAGGCTTTTACCTTTCAGAAGCAGATCGCCACCCTGTCTCCCAAAGCATCTCTGGGTAGGTTTAAAGTACCAACTTTTTGGCTGGTGGTCAAGCTCTTTACCATTTGTGCTACCCAGGGAATCCTTACTCAGCATCTAAAAGCTAGAAATATGTGTGATTTAATTTTCAAGATGAATTATTCTTATGCTTTTCCATTTGTTCACAATTGCCCCATTCCCAGCAAGTGTGGAGGGAGATGCCTTTCTGAAAACTTTTTTTTTTTTTTTTTTTTGAGTGTTGTTATGATTGGCAAACAGTAAAATTGCACATACCTGAAGTATGTAATTTGATCAGTTGTATCATGATAAATACAGAATTTAATTGAATAAATGCTATTGAGTTATTGACTCTTTTGGCAGCATACCTTACTATGACAGCGATTATCACGGTGCCCTTAAAGGTGGAAGCACCTTTACTACAAAGCTTAGGAGAGCCTTTACTCAGATTAAACAGATCCTCTCCTTTAAACACAGCTTAAGGCTCTTGAACCTTGCAGCAATGCAGATATGTATGTTCTAACCCCAAGGATTGTGATTCTGTGGGTCTAGGCTAGGATTTGAGTGCTGTAATTTTAAAAGCTCCTCAGATAATTCTAATGCCCAGTCAAGTTTGAGAATCACTAATGGAGCACAGAATTTGAAAGTTAAAGTCTCCTTC